CTGCTTGTACTGAATCATCTGTGATTAAACCAAGTAACAGGCCTATCATGCTCTGACACCATGTGTGTTGACATGAGTATGGTGGGGATTTTAATGGGACAGAGTGCTACAGAAGCACGTAGCTGTCAAAATTGTTAAGCTCTTTCAGACTGTTCCTCACTCCTTTAACTCTTGGTGATGCCAGGCTTTTAGTTGAAACTGAGGCATGTGTAAAGTGAGTAGGGCTTTATTCTTTTAGAAAACCTGAGACAGAAGTGTTTGGGTTTCCCCCTCCCAGTTTTAAAACTCTTGTGGAATGAATTGGCACTTAAAGAATTCCCATTGAAATGAGAAACTTGATTGATGAAAAGAATCTTTTGCATATTTTTGTTTTACATTCTATTTCACTATATTTACAGTTCTTACACCATGGATTGAGAGGAAAGCATGGTTTTGAGCCTCTTGTAGATGTTTAGAGATACCTCTACGTTAAGAATGTCCCAGCTCAGAAATTCCAGGATACTGTGCAGTTGACAGGAGGTGCTCATTGGTAGAAACGTATTTCAGATCTGATGAACTTCAAGCTCTGGTATTTTTTGATTACAACTCTTTAAGCTGTAGCAGTGCATCACAGAAAGCAGCTACAGAGTATAGATGTTGGGAATTACAGAGAAGGAAGCTGTTAGTAGTCAGTTTTAATCAAGATATAGCTTTCACCATGCTAACACCAAGTCAGTGCTTGGTTAAATTGCCTGGAGCAAATGCCTAAAACGAAGAGTGTTCGTTTGCCACAGGAAAAGTCTGTATCTGCCACTTAGGCACCAGTGACATGAGGGACTCTTCAAGGGTTTTAGTAAGGATGTAGCTACATCTAGGTGTCTGGTGGCTTTTCTCCTTTCCTAGGCGAAGGTTTAAGCCTGACCTCATTTTGCAAACGGGGATGAAGCTGCGTACCCTGACCCGCTGCTCCCGTACGCCAGGTTGGGTGTGTAATGAAGAGCAGGCAGCGTGCTGAGTTTGTGCCTCTGCTGTCTTGGGAGGGCAGCTCGCAGCACAAGGGAGTTAGTCCGGTATACGGAAGTCGGGCTTTATCTCTCTTTTCCTGCAAAATCGGTTGGGTTATACTCCCCTGGTGTGTTTCCAGCAAGTTTTGAAATAGGTAAGGTAAGACAAGTAAAGATTATGTCGTGGAGAGCCCTCCTAGGAGGTATTTTTCGCTCCAGCCATCTCTGAGTTGAAATCTTCTCCCATTGCAGGATTATTCCAGTTTCTCTCCTCCAGTGTATGGTCAGCAACAGCGTTTACTTAAAGCAGCATGGTTAAATAGAATCTTAGAATGGAATTAACTGGATGGTGTTTAGGTTTCCCCAGCAAGCAGTTCAGGAAGGATTGTCGAAGGACCAGTGGTTAAGCACATGAGTTAACATCTGTAAGTCATTTGTGCCTCTGGACACCCTCGGGTGGCAAGGTGTGCCTGTGCCGCGGCAGCTGGCGTCCTGTGGTAGTCTGTGGCGTGAGCAGAATGCAGAGCACGGCTGGAATTTGGATTTGTGGTAGGGCTTTAGGCGTGGCAGGAAGCCAGAAATACGGATTTTCTGTAGATGGTAAGTGCTTTTGAGGAAATGTTGAGGACAGTGGTGAACTCACATTGTGAGGAGTTACACTCTGCGTGTGGTTTTCCTGTCCCTTCGCTGTTGCCCATAGGAGTTTCTTCTGTATGCTGGCAGAGTTTATGCTGGTCAGTGAGAGTGGTGCAGAACTGGCAATGAATGTTCCTCTCAATCAGATTGTTCGTTATCATTATTACCATAACAGTGGGGCTCGGCTCATTTCAAGTCTTGATTTCAGCGCTTCGTTTTTCACACAGTGTACCTCCTGTTACTGGAGTAACACAGGTGGTGTGTTCTCTGGCTGCACAGGATCAAGTATTTCTTACTTTTAGTCAGCAAAAACACACAGATGCTCTGAGTTGGGTGACATGAGGACTAGCCAGTGCTCCAGATTGCACTAGTACGGCTTTTATGATTTTGTACAGCTCTGATCATTATTAGGATTGTAACATTTGTCTTCATTTTTTCCTGTAATAAAACATCTGCTGAATCTTTTTCACTTCAGCAAAGTCATCTTTGAACGTCACTAAAATGGCAATCCAAAATTACTATATAAGGAAGAGTATGACTTTTAAAAGTGGCTTTATGCATTTAAATCTAGAGAGCATAATTGATGACTGTCTGAAATAACTGGCAACTTCTCTATTCAGAAATCCTGAGAAAGTTTAACAGTTTTCGTCAGCAGAGCAATCTGCTGTTTCTGAGGGACTGCTTCTCAGATCCCATTATGCAAAGAGAACTAGAAGATGGTCTAGTCTGTCTTTAGAGCTTGGGAGAATCTTTGTTTATTAAAAAAAAAAAAGTACAACTGGTTCATCACCAGAGCTGCTATTTCTTGATTTTTGTACATCTGTTGGAACTGGCAAAAATGCTGTAATACGCATTCTTTCCTCTCCAGAGAAAGGGAGGAGGGGAAGGATTGTAGTCATAGGCTTGGCTGTGTTACTGTGTTTACTTCCTACTTCATTTTTTTTGCTGTTTCAAAAAACCCCATCTTCCTGCCTGAAGGGAGTGTTCTGACTCTGGTGTTCACGTTGTTCATGGACTCTGCGGTCTTGGGGAGGATGGCACTTCCCACTGTCCTGGTAGTATCTGTGTGAACATGCAAATGTTAGTAGGTATGTAGTTATAATAATACTTTCAAGGTTATTCTTGCACTTTTGGACTTAAAAACTTACCGTCAGCCATGGACTATAGGATTTGTATGTAGGATAGTTTCAGATGCTGTGTGTGATATGACATATTGTGATACGATACTATGCCAAGATCCTAGAGAGAAGGAGGTTTCTTTCTGTCATCATTCTTGAGCAGGTGTTGGTTTTTTTTTTTTTGAGTGTCACCTTTTCCTTTAGATAAGGGAATGCTTTAGTTCATGTAAGGAGAAACAGTGGCTGTAAAACTACTAAATTGGTTTTGGGAACAGAAGCAGGTAAAGCATCCAAGATTCCTTTTGACTAGATTTTAGGCTGAAAATGTCCCTTAGGAGGGGAGGAAGAGTATGTCATGTTGTTGAAATACGCTTGATTTTAGACCCTGGGAAGAAAATAAGATATTTTTTTAAAATATATAGCATTCCAGACGTAGGTGTTGGCTTTACTGGGGGGAAGGGGGGGAAGGAAAAGTAGTAATAATTCAACATTTTAAAAAACAGAATATAGTGGTTCTTACTTTTTAGCAAAACCAGGAGATGAGGGTTGTCTGTGGTTTTGTTTTTTGGTTTTCTTTTAAATTGCGACACCAGAGGAAGGTTATCACCTTCCACCTACCACCTTCTGACAGGGTACTACCTCCTGGATGGCGTACAAATTGCGTGGTGCTGACTTGGCTCCGGCTGGTACGTGTATGATGGCAAGCTACAGCAGCCTGAAGAGGGCCCGGCAGTGGGGTTGCTGCCCAGGCGAGCTGGACAGCCCGCAGACTATTTCTGTGTTTCCTCTATGGAGAGGGATTCCTGTTTCCGCTGCTGGTCAGTCTTCCTCTGAAACTTCCCAGTCTTGACCCAGTCATGTCGGTGATCCTGTCCCGGAGACACAGAGCACATGGTTGTTTTGTGGCCGGTCTCCAGCTGGTGTGCAGACTGCCTGCACTCTGGTACATAGAGGCATTCACCTCCGTCAGCATGTGTGGTTTGCCTCTCCATCTTCTCCAGACCAAGATGTGTAAGTTAGAACTTAGATTTTTGTATCATCAGTGGCCCTCTACATTCCTTCATTTCTACCTTTTGACTTATTTTTAGTATCCAGTTTCTGATTTTTATCATCCCATGGTAAAACCATAGAAACCCAGTGTACCCCTTCCTGGGAGGTAAGTTGGGAAACTGAAGAAAGAAACAGTATGGATATCCAGATATGCAACACTGATGTTGCCTAAGAAATGCCTTGTCTGTTACAGAAGCAGTTCTGTGAGAGTTAAAAAAAATTCCTCTTGTACAGTCAAGCTTCCAAGAAGTGGAAATATTTGCGCTTTTGGGGGAAATTAGTGTTTTTGGTTGGATGTGATCTGCTACTTCTCATAGCGGTCTCCTGTCTGAGGAAGATAGGAAAACACCATTCTTTCTCCTCTTAGAGCCAATCAGTTAAGCAAGAGGGAACAGAAGGAAATCCTTGCTGTCATCTGGTACATAGGGAATAATTGAAGTTTGATATGTGATGGGAATCTGTTCTGGGGGATTTTTTTTTTTTAAATAAAAAGCGGTATGATGAAAAATTGAAATGTCATCACCTTACCTCTAGTCTTTGTTTGAATTGCTACATGGAAGTTGAAGGGCAAGACAGTGCTGGCTGTCACTTACTCTGCAGCTCTGCTCCCTGAAATATTCAGGTGCTTTACATTATAAATATGCATCTGCATACTTCTCAGAGAACCCTTGGGTTTTGAGAATATTCAGAGTTGTTTAGCCACAGTGACTTTTCTGCTGGCAGTCAATGGATTCAAGACACACAAAAATATGTGGTTTCTTTTAGTTAACTATATTGGGTTTGTACATGGCCTTATGGCATGTGTGGAAAATGTGAGGTAAACAGGAGAGTTTCCAATGCTGTAAGCCTGTTACTATGCTTTATAGAAGAACTTGTTATACATCTACTTAGTTGCCACCTTGGGTTATGGTAATTTCTACACATGCGTGCCCACTCGCCACCCCCGTTAGGGAGCAGCGGGTCGAAGACGCCATTCCCAGCACTGCTGAAGTGTAACAAAGAGATTCCTTGACCACAGGGAAGTATCAGACTTGCTAAGGTGAGAAGGATGTAAAGGATAGAAAAAGCTGACAAAAGAAGTACTGGTTCAGATGGTGAGGAGATGATGATAGTAATATGAGTAACAGGCCATTAGAGTGCTGTGATCTTTCATAACCCAAAGTGATGGATGTGATTCTAATCTGCCTTTTTTTCTTTCTTCTTCATGTAGGGAATTCCACTGAAGAATCTGCTGGAAGCATATACATGTGAATTTTCTGCATGAAGCCTCTCAAACTGGATTATGTAATAATGCCAGTATCCTCTGACTCTGTTTTGATCCTTAAAAATGATTAGGGTTGTATATGAAATTTAACCCATTTCTGATGAGTGGCCTAGACATGAGTTTACATCGGCAAATGGGCTCCGATCGGGACCTCCAGTCTTCTGCTTCCTCTGTGAGCTTGCCGTCTGTTAAAAAGGCACCAAAGAAAAGAAGAATTTCATTGGGCTCCCTTTTTCGGAGGAAAAAAGATACAAAACGCAAGTCCAGGGATTTAAATGGAGGTGTGGATGGAATTGCAAGTATTGAAAGTATTCATTCAGAGATGTGTACAGACAAGAACTCTATTTTCTCCACATGTACCTCTTCTGACAACGGAACAACCTCTAGCAGCAAACCAAGTGGAGACTTCATGGAATGCCCCTTGTGCCTTTTGCGGCACTCCAAGGACAGGTTCCCAGAGATAATGACTTGTCACCATAGATCTTGTGTGGATTGCTTGCGTCAATACCTCCGGATAGAAATCTCCGAGAGCAGAGTTAATATTAGTTGTCCGGAATGCTCAGAACGATTTAATCCTCATGATATTCGTTTGATATTGAATGATGACATCTTGATGGAAAAATACGAAGAGTTTATGCTTAGGCGATGGCTGGTTGCAGATCCTGATTGCAGGTGGTGTCCAGCTCCAGACTGTGGGTATGTGTGTTTTCCCAATGTCTGCAAAAAACTGACAGCGTAAATAATGCTCATAGCATTGTGTTTTTTGAAGTGTTAATTGCTTTACTTTAGCATTTTATTACGTGTTGTAGGCAGCAGGCAGAATTCTCTTGCAAACAAAGCAAACAAAAACCAAACAAACAAAATTCACTACCACCTTCCAGAATAAAACCCTTCCTTAAGTAGGATTTTTCTGCACAGAGGGAATTTCAGCAATGGCACGAAACTTACTGGTACATGGTTGCTATGTATCTACAACAAGCAAAAAAAAAAAGCAGATGTTGCACTACCAAGGCAACAGTATAAAGCTCAGACTGAAGAGAAATTTGGTCACTGTACTTTTAACTTAGTCAATATCTACTGTGCTTTAAGAAATATTGAGGTTTTTTAACTGTGAAAAAACGATTGAAGGTTTGTTGGTTTTTTTTTAATAAAAAAGCCTCTCCAGCTTAAGATATCTTCCATCTTGTGGCTGGTTCAAACACCACTTGTTGCCTGTCAACAGGGTTCTAATGTAAGATAATAATCAGCTTGTTCCTGCTTATTATCTGAGGAACGCAATATTTTAACTTTGCTTTAATACTTACAGTTCAGAAACCATTCTGAATTCCGACGTGAGTAGGCTGAATACTACTGAGCAGCTCACCATGCTTTTCTGCTCTTGGTGTCTCATAATGCCGTTCTCCTTTTCAGAGGTGGTTTGCATCATCGTAATGTCTAAAGGTTATAGCCATGGCTGCGCTCTAGGAGTTTTTACTGTGCACTGCACGTCCAGAAGATGACATCTGTTTTTCAAAGCCTCACAGCTGGGCAATAAGTAGAAAGACGAAGGGGAAGAATGTTGGAAGAGAATAAGTAAAATAGGTTTTTTTAAGTTATTTTAAAAATATTTTAAAAATAACTTAAAAAAACCTAAGTAGATTAAATACTGCAGTATTAATGTTGGGGTTCCTAATGTTTAGGAGGCTTTCATATTTCAACGGTAATGTTAGAAACATATTTGAAATACAGTTTTGCTTTCACACTTTAGCAAATTCTGGTTTGTTTATTGTGGGTCAGAAGCAGGGACTTGAAAGGTGATAATTTCTTCGATCCTCTGGTCCAAAGTGGATGGCGTTGCTGTGGTATAGTTTAAGCAGAGGATGAAAAACTACATGAGGGATGGATGGGTTGCATAACCTTGTACCAAAGTCATGTGAGCAAAACCAGTACAGCTTGCTCTTAATATTTTGATACTGCAAAAGAAAACAACCACTAGAAGGCATTATGTGATAGGCAGAAGTAGGCTTTGCCTAACTGGTTTCCATAACTGGTGACTGATTCTGCCCTGTCCTTGTCTCGACCCATGAACATTTCCTTATATTTTCTCCTCCCCATCCCACACGGAGTGAGCGAGCAGCCTCCTCGTGCTTTTAATTGCCAGCTGGGCCTAAACCATGACACATTTCAGTGATTCAGATACTGTTTTAGTACTTCACTAGGTAGACTAAAGCAGATTTGTTTAGTGGAGACTTTACCTTGCTTATTTTTTGTGCCTCAGTTTTCTCATCTCTCTTAAAAAAAAAAAAATCCTAAGTATCTTTAAATAGTCAGAAACCATAATAATACCACTACAAAAATAAAAAGCAGGTCTTCACAGCCAAGTTAAAGTTCTGTGCAATCGTGGGAGCACAGCAATGGGCTTTGGCAACTGCGATCAACTTGTACACTCTGCAGTTAAAACTGAGGGCTGCTTTTTCCTCTGAGCAGTTTTTGGTACGTAGGACTGTCATTATGCATTAGGGTGGCAATGGTAGCTGACCCGATGTAAGCACACATCGGGTATTTCATGAAGGAGCTGGATGGAATGCGTTTGCTAAATTTGCAATTGATCCCAAAGTCGGAGAGGTGCAGTGCCGTCAGAGGGTAGCATTCTTCCCTGAAGTTGTCTTTAAAATTAGAAATAAGTGCTGTAGTAAATAGGAAACAGGTGTAAAGTAGAGCATTTTGGTAGGAGGAATTTACAGCACAAATGGGTGAAAGAAGGAACTAGTGGATGGTGCGTGTCAGTGCTTCAGCTCTTCTCGGCGCTGATGAACTGCCCCATGTAATATTGTTTCAGGGTTTGGGCATCGCACTTGGACGAAGATGTGGACCATATAAAGAGCAAATAATTACAAAAATTATTAGCAGGTAGATTTATATTAGATATAAGGAAGAAATTCTTCCTAGGGTGGGTGGTGAGGCACGGGAACATGTTGCCCAGAGAAGCTGTGGATGCCCCATCCCTGGAAGTGTTCAAGGCCAGGCTGGATGAGGCTTTGAGCAACCTGGTCTAGTGGAAGCTGTCCCTGCCCATGGCAGGGGGGTTGGAACTAGATGGGCTTTAAGGTCCTTTCCAACCCAAACCATTCTGTGATTGTATGAAAGAACAGTTTAAGAAATAACTATCTCTTTCAGCTGCCTTTCACTCTGTTTGAGGTAAAAACACATCCTAGAGTTGGCAGAACTGGAACCAAACAGACCTTGAAATGAGTTAACTGCAGTATTAAGTGTGTTACTAGTTGTTCTGTCCCAGTGGAAAACTCATGATGTTCCCATCAAGAGAACTATGGATTGGTTTGGAGAACCTCTGCTACAGTAGATACACCATGGACAAGCTACCTGGGCTACTTCATCCTCGGCTTTTGTTGCAAGCTCAAATGCATCCTGACTGTTGTTGTTACCTAAAATACTGTTTTAACAAGCCTGAGCGCATCAGTATTTCAAATGGGTTCTGCCTTTTCTTCTGTCAGAATTATTTAATGCTTTTGCTCTGAGACTGTATTGTTGCATTACTGGAGAGAGCACCGATACCTAGGTTAAGTTCTTATCTTTGGCAAGCAGAAAGCAGATTAGGCAAAAGAGTGCAAATTCTTCATTCCTTTTCTCGCTGTACCTCCTTTCTTCAATTAATTGCCCTTTGCCTCTGCTTTTTGTTTTACTTGTTATTACTTTGAATTTGTTGTTTCTCCCTTCCCTCAGCCTAACAAGACCTCTTGGCTGTTGCATCACCTGTTAAATGAATGGGAATGTTGAAATTGACTCTGTAATCTGGTACAGTTTGAACTGACATTTGCTGTGGTCTAAAAAGTTACTTTTTAAAAGGTATTCCAATACATCAGTCCCAAACAGGGAGTGCTTTTGGGGATGCGCCCATTCTTTATTAGCAGTGGGAGGCAGGGTATAAACTGGTATTTATTCCGTGCCTGATGCTTGAGATCCTTTGGTATAATGTTAGTGAGTCTTGATTGTGTCCCTGATGGGGAAGAAGGGTTTGCATCAGTCTCTTTGTGTACGTACAAAGCAATTACTGCTTCAGTTGCTGTTAGTGGGAAAACAGAGCTGATTAACTTGGCAACAATATAGGAGAGCCTGGCAATTATTGAAACAATTTTTTACTTTGAAAGTAAATACTTGAAAACAGACAAGCTTATATCTCATTTTTATTTGTAACTGCATAATCTGTGAATTAAAGTTTGAAAACTCCCGTTTGTCTGCAGAACCTCTGGGGGGGTGGAACCTCAAACGTGCCATTTTAAAATGCTTAAGGAAAGGGATAGGACTTGCATTAACTTTACAGAGTTCCAGATGTAGCTACTTTAATATGAGAATAGCTAAATTTTCAGATAGACATGTGTGGGAATAATTCTTTTAGTATCATTGCTGATAAAGAATATTTTGAGTTAATTTTATGTAATTGCTATAAATTAGGCAGGGGGTAAAAATAAACAATTTAGACTTTTAAATAAAATTACCTTTGTTTGGAAGAGCCGTACGTTTTAGCCCTGCTGCGTTTATAAATCTGTTGGAAGTCTATTCAGGGTGACTGTTCATGTGAATAAAAGTATAGATTTGGTTTAAGTGTTCATACCAGTGGGTCTAGCATTGTTTTCCATTTTTAAAAAAGCCATTTGCACGAGATCGTTGAAAAAATCACAGCGGGTGGGAATTAAGGCGCATGTGCGTAGATGTGTATGTGTATGTTTAGTGTTGATGTGAACTACAACACACTTATTTGTGGCAACAGCTCTGGCCTTGTATAGAATTCTTCATGTTGTCTCTGATTGACAAAACCCTGTTACACTATTTTGTAGTCTCAATGTTTTTGGAGCTTTTTGCTCTATGGTATTGTCAGAGTAAAGGTGGCAGTGAGGCCCTCAGCTCTTAAATTTCAAATGGGAAATGCAGAAATTTTATCTTTTTAAAAAAATGTCAAGAAGGTGAAATACTTGCTTTGTTGTTTTGACATTTTAAAATATAAATTGTAAAGAGCTATCTATTTAAAGTAGGTAGTGGTTTTCATGATAAAAGGCAGCCAGTAAAATCCTAAAATGTCATGCGGTACCAAGTGAAATGCCTTTACAGTAATAGATTCCACTGCAGATCACTTACCAGGGTCTCTCCTCGAATGCAGAGAGGGTCAATCTTAGACATTCCCATGGTGACTGGGACACTTTGGAAATGGTAACTTTTCCTAGTTGCTTTAATACCATTTTTTGTTTCATTGTCCTGCTCTTCTGAAGTGCAGTCGCTTTGGGATCGTAAACCTTAGTGTACTACATTTGGCCTTAAATACAGTATATTTCCGTACTGAATGGAGTTATTAAGGTGGCATAGAGCACAGCATTACCCTGTACAGTCCTAGTCTAAAGCAGTCGCTATTAGAGTCGTGGAGGGAGGTGGTAAGGGACCTGTGCTGGCCACCTGATGTCGCTCCTGGTGTCCACTTGTACCTGCTTCAGCTGCTCTGGCAGCTGTCTTGTCTCCTTCGGTCTATAGCTAAGACTGGTTTTACTAACAAAATTCTCTGTTGCCCCTCTTGATCATTCAAGATACGCTGTGATTGCTTTTGGATGTGCCAGCTGTCCCAAACTGACGTGTGGACGAGAAGGCTGTGGAACCGAGTTTTGCTACCACTGTAAGCAGATTTGGCATCCAAACCAGACCTGTGATGCTGCTCGCCAGGAGAGAGCTCAAAGCCTGCGCCTGAGAACAATTCGTTCTTCATCTATTAGCTACAGCCAGGAATCTGGAGCGGCAGGTATTTCTGATGAGGATACTGTGTCTGTAAAATACCATTTTGTTACATTGGCACAATGAACTCTAGAAAGAACTGAACAATAACATGGTAGATTCTAGCTTCTTTGTCTTTCAGAAACATGAAATACACCATTTTAAGTTTGAATTCAAATTTTAAATGTTATAATTTGAAGTACTCTGTGACCACAGCATCTGATTTCAGTCTTACAGGCTTGTCAGCATTTTAAATTCCTCCTTTCTAAATGAAAAATGTGAAGTCAAAGAAACCTGTAAAGCATTCTCTGTGTTTGGCAGGCTGACTTCAGTAGCTGTTTTGCTTACACACTGAGAACACTTATTTTCCCCACTGTAGGTAAAATTTCACAGGGCTGCTAATAAAAGCCGTTAAAAATAAAACTCAAACCCACTGATTTTCTGCTTTCAAAAGAGACTGTTAGTCTGTTGCCAGCTCTGATGTTTGACATCTGTTTGTTAGTACAAATTTCTGTTGTTCAGTAATAGGCTCATCTGTCTTGGCTACCAGAAAGCAAACAATTCCATCTTCTTAAAATTGTTTGTAGCCCCCCAAAGAGAAGGATAAACTACTCGGAACACTGTTCTGCAGACCAAGAGTCCAGTTTGCTGTCGATAAGAATTGGCTCTGAGTTTCACCAAACTCTGATTTGGCAGCTTTTTGTGTCTGCCTGACCAAACGAGGTGGATGTTTGGGGAGAATTCTCTCTTGTACCTTGCATGTAGTTAGAGCTGTCATTCTCCAGTCCAGCCCTAGGCTTTGGGAGTCTTCGATTTGTTGTTTGTGCTGGCTCACTTTCACTAGGCACTCTATCTTGTCTTAAACTGGCATCTTGCTCTAGTTTTCAAATAAATTTTAAAATAAACTTGAAATAAACTAGCCTGCTAGTTCATTTCCTTGCCCTTTCAGTCATTCCCAGCAGGAACAGCTCTGCCATACCCATGCTATTGCACGGTTTAGTTACTGCCCTGTAGGCTGGGAATCTGTTCCCATCTGGGAATCGCTAGTGCATCCTTTCAGCTGCTCGCTGTCCTTTTGCACTGGCATTGGTAGAGGTACTGTTTCTGCTAGTTCTGCTCCTCTTTGGGTATTCTTTATACCAAATATAAGCCCTCTCTTGCCTTTGTCCTACCTAGTAGCACAGAGGCAGTGAACTTGACTTCTGCACTGGGAGCTGCAAGTTCTTTCTGCAGCTGTAAATAGCTGCTGACCAGTAACGTAAAGGAGCGAAGATCACGACTCTGGTTGTGTCAGTGTACCAGTATTTCGCTCTTGCTCAGTGACCCCTTGTTTGTTAATGATAGAGCTACTCACTTAACCACACTCTTCAATATTTAACTTGGGAACAAGGACAGCATCCAGAATTTTCTTTTTGCTACAGTATTTTTTCCTAGGGAGTTAGTAAATATTAAGTAAGGCTGTGAAAGGGACTCAGGAGGAGGTTGGTGATACCAAAGAAATGCCCTTAATGTGGAAGGGGAGATGAATTTGAGATAAGAAATAAGAGTGGAGGCTGAATATTCAAGTAAAAGATTCATAACGGCATGAAATGTAAAAGAGGGTTATATTTAAAGAGACCATATTATCAGTCCTGTATTAACATTCATATTTAATGTTGGACTCTAATATATTTTGCATTAAGCTTAGAGAATCCTTGAACAGAGTATGCATTAACTATTCAGTTACTTGAATGTGATCCAATATGCCTTGTTTTCATTAGTTCTACTTGGTCCAAAGTTCACAAATACCAGTAGCTGTCAAGTCATTGCCAAATCAAGATTTGTAAAGCAAACTTGTAATGAACTTTTTCCCTTTTTTCAGATAACAGTTCAATCAGTTTTCCCAAACCTGTGTCTGTATTTTGATTAAACCTGCTTGTCTAAAGAACTGATATAATCTTAATGTTCATTTTTAAACAGCTGATGACATAAAGCCATGCCCACGCTGTGCTGCTTATATAATAAAAATGAATGATGGAAGCTGCAATCATATGACTTGTGCTGTCTGTGGCTGTGAATTCTGTTGGCTGTGTATGAAAGAGATCTCAGATTTACATTATTTAAGGTACATTTAAGAAAAACATCCGTGGTTGCTAATCTGTTTTCTAAAGTATATTGAAGTTGATTCCTGGGTGCTGTAAGTCTGTCTGTCTTCCTGTTGGAGTAGAGAATCGCTGTTGAAGTACCCGTATCTGAGAATTAAGTTAGTTTTTAATGCATTTGTGTAAATTAGTGCTTTATTTTTTTTATTTTTAAATATTTTTCTAAGTTTTATGCATGCGGTGTGTACTTAGTGCAACATATCGTGTTGCAGATGAACATACCATAATTTCTACTGATGTCTTAATATTGCTGTATTGTCTTTGTAGTAAGCAGTACAAAACCTCTGATTATCTGAGATCCCTGTGAACCACATGCGGTATATGCAATATGCTTCTGTTTATGTTGCAAAAAATGCTGTAAAGGCAAAAGAAAAAAGTCTGAAGAATTCATAACTACTGATTCGGTATCCGTAACATCTGTAACTTGAAGCAAAGAACAATAATTTTATAACTAGAGAACAGCTCAGAAGTGTATAGCTATGTTGATTTTATTTACAGTTTCTTTACAGTTTTCTTCTTTCTTGTAGCCCATCAGGTTGCACATTCTGGGGAAAGAAACCATGGAGCCGTAAGAAGAAAATACTCTGGCAACTGGGGACGCTTGTTGGAGCTCCTGTAGGAATCGCCTTAATAGCTGGCATTGCTATTCCTGCTATGATTATTGGAATTCCTGTGTATGTAGGACGTAAGGTAAAATGTGCTACAACTCCTAATGTGCTTCAGGTTTTACCTTCTGCACTGTCTGACTCGGCTAATACTGTGTTCAGCTGGCTGTCTTCACCAGCCTTTAAACAAAACAAACCCAAGCCCTGAATTGGTTATTTGTTGCAATTGTACAGGAAGGAGAAACAGTGTTTTTAAGAAAGTAGTTCCTCCTAAAACAGGCAGAGCAAAACACCAAGTGATTTCCAGTTTCCGCATCTTGCCGTGGAAGTTCTTGCGTGCTTTTTCAGATTGGCCTGGTTTTTCATCTGTTGTCTCTTAGAATTAATATTTAGAGGAGGAGGAAGTCAAGAAGGCAATTCTTTTTCTTAAAAGCAAATAGTTACTGGTATTTCAGTACAAAATTCTGCTAGTATGGGTGAATGAACTTTTTCTGCTTTTATCAGCATGTATTCTCGCAGTGACTGGCACAGACCCATAATTCTATGTTTACTGGGGGAGATGGAAGTGTCTCTCTCACATCAGCTATTGCTGCTAGACAAAATGTCCAGAGATGCGGCTTTTCCACTATATTCTTTGTCATCTTTGTCTTTCAAGCGAGTACTCCTACCTTCTGCTACAGTTGGTTTTTCACCCTGCTATTCTGTTTTGGCTTAGTCCCATACCATCACTGTAACCTTAGAAATGACAGGAGGAGGAGGGCAGCAGTTACCTGTTTCAGATTACTGTTGCACTTTTCTCATTACATTTTGGGAAAGTCCCTATCACTCAGCACCTTTTCACATAGTAAAGTCTCAAAGGTAGAGTCTGTGAGGGCAGCCTCATGAGCATTTCCATCGTAGCCCACTGCTCAGTGGTCCTTTTCCTGTGACTCCTCTCGCGTGTTTGCACTTCTCTGGATTTCCTTCCTTTCCTTCAAACCACCTGTGGGTTTGTCCAGTTTGAATGTAGCAGTGAAGCTGAGGCACTACTACTGCTGAGTCAAAGGGTGATCCTGTGCGTATACCTGCCAGTTATTTCTTTCTCCACAACATGCTATTTTAATTTTGTGTACACATACCCTTCCCCACTGTCCATTGGTCTCTTCCTAAGGGTAGTCTTGAACTCATTACCACTGTGCTGCATTTTACTCATTTCAGGCCATTTTTTTCAGCTTTTCAAGACTTGTGTGAGTTCTGTCATGCTTGCAACCTTGCCAGATTGTATTGGCCTGAGATTCAACACACACCTCCTTCTCCTTCCATCTTCCACATTATTGAAAATGTTGAACATTAAGAGAGATGTCCTGGATTCAAGAAAGTATAGTGTCAAGAGTTCCAGTTTGGGGAGTAAAAAGCACTAACGACAACGCAGGTGTTTTCTGTTTTACATGAAGCTAATAGTAGTTTTCTCAAGTCCATTTTTCAGTCTGGGCCACTACAACCTGCTGAGTGTCATACAAGAAAATGTCAAAGTTTTGTTCTAGTCAGTACGTGATATCTGCTGCTCCCCATCCTCAAGGCTAGTTATCTTGTCACAGAAGAAAATAAAATTCATGCAATTTCTACCTGGAAAAAAAAATCAGTGTGACCTCTTTCTCTTGCATGTGCTTTGGTGTCCACAAGTTCCCAGTTTTCAGAAAATTGAAATGCAGTTCAGTGGTCTTTTAAAAAAAGTATAAAACAAGAAGCTGGGAGAATTTAAGTGTATCATTGCAGTTTAACTTTTTCCAGTTTTCCTGAATTTCCCCCCCTCCTCCCC